TAAGCTCGAAATTGGCAAAAAATAACGTTAATGTTCCGTTTTGTGTGTTGAAAAATATCTCAATAAAGGGTTAAAAAGAAACCCAAAACCTTACCTAATCAATTTCCATGGTTAAAAAATAACGACACGCTAGTCAAGATATTTTTTGACACACACAACGGAGCATTTACGTTATTTCTTTGCCAATTCCGAGCTTAATTTGTACCCATAAAAGGTCAAAATGACCCCAAAACTTTACCCGAGCAATTTTTGTCATGAAAAACGAGAATAAAGCATTATTTTTATTCATTAAAATAAATGATTATTGTATATTAATTTTAAAAAATAATGGCTTTTGGTGAAATAAATTTCCAAAAGTAATGGCATTTGGTGCAATAAGAATTGCATTAACGGAGAGCTAACGTCCCTATGCAATTAATGGCACGAGGTGTCATTGTACTGTTTGTTTGCGGCATTTGGTGAATTTTAAAAACCTTAATGACATTTGGTGAATTTTGTAAGTACTCAGTATTAATGATGAAATAGCCGTAATATAAATAAGAGCCCACTATCTTCTTTTAAATCTACTTTTGCATTAAGATAAAAATTGATACCCAAACAACTACTTATCACCTAAAATTATGTGTCATGATTAGTGTTAAATCTAAGCTACGATAATGGCCGGAGAGAGTAATTGATTATTCTAGAGAAATCATCATCCCATAATTACAAATCTGGCTTCAATCATCAGACTACAAGTTGTTGCGTGAGTGAATGATTATCATATCAACCATTAGTTGATTACTATGGAATCACCAACCCAGACAGAGACATCAGGTCGAGACCACACCATTGCATGGGCTGTGGCCTATGGGGAATCTTACATCCCGGAATTACTTTAGAGTCTTGGTTAGTTGATGGAGCATAAATGAAAGAGAGCAATTTAAACATGAAGATTGGAAGGTAGTGATAGGAATTGTAACTACAAAGAGTGGAGTGGACATCAGAGTTGAAGGAGTAGTTGTAATTGCAAAATCACCCAACTACGGGAAATGAAATCATCATTTAGATGACTCTCTTTTAAAAAGTACGAATTCTATACCTAGACGAAACAATCCCACTCGAATGTTGGAAGATAACAAGGAATTAGACTTGAATCAAAATGCTTAGAGTATTTTAGCATTTAAAAAAAATAAAAAGGTGTAATACTCCGTATTTTTATACATATATTAATTTAAGTATTATTTTATGACGTATTTAAATAATTTAAAATGAATTATTTATGGTATTTTAATATTTAAAAGGTGTTTTTTAATTAAAAACTCATTTATTATTTATTTAAATGGTTAAGAAATATTTTATTGTTATATTTGGAAATTTTGGAGCATATCTATACTTATAAACGAGTTTTAAAGTCAAAAAGATTTTAATTAAAGTCAAAATACCAATTTGAGTGGAAGTGAGAATCATTAAGGTCAAAAAGGGAAATTCAAGTGGAAGAGGGTTTTACAGAGGAGTATAAATATTCACCTAAAGGCAAAAATCTGATTTTTGCCAATGGTGATAATTCCAAGAGGTAAATCATCTCTCCCTCTCTCTTTTATTTTCCTCCTTATTTCCCCTTCCCCTTGCTCACACCTCACGACACACACACCACCACCACCACAGCAAGCCGCCGCCAGCACGGAGCAGCAGGCGCGGGAGGTGGCTGCACCGACCACCCTCCCCTCCTTGCGGTTTGGGGTTTTTTTTTTAACCTTGTTCTTTCTTGTTTTAAATTTAATCTAGATTTGTTTGATAATTGTTTTGGGATGTTGGGTGATGAATTATGATGTTTTTAATGTTGTTTAATATATGTAATTTTCAGATTTGATTTTTATATGAAAAAACCCCAAATTGATAAACCATAGGTTTCTAAATTGATGTTTATTGAAAGAATTTGATTGTGGTTGATTAAACCTATTGAAATTAATGTTTTAAAACTAAATTACAGCAAGTTTAAGGATTTTTATATTGCTGGAATTTTTAAATAGGAGACTTCCAAGTGAGCGATTTTGTGTAGTCGTGGTGATTTTGAGATTATATACGAGGTACGTACATGTACTCGATATTTATTAAGCGTGGAGAAGCACGCTAGGATTTGTTTTAGTTGGTTCTAAACTAGTATCATTCTAGGAATTGGTTAGAATTGGTGAATGGAATTGGATTGATTGTTTTGGAATGGTTTTGGTGAAATATTTGCGAGGAATTTATTTATTGAAATTAGTGATGTTGGAATATTGTTGTTGAACCATTCTTTTATTATTGGCATGTTTTAAGGTTTATTTAATTAAACTATATGTTTAATTTGGTTTGGAATATAAAAAGGGAATTTTATTATGGTTTCTATAATTTTTATTGATGTTATAAGCATGGGAATTGAGCTATTTAAGTGTCTATGTACACGATGATTAACTTATATTTTGGTGATTAAGTGCACTTATGGTGTTCTAATCACCGAGGGATAGGATTTGCGGTGCATTATGCGCTTAAGGTGTTATTTAACGCCGAACTAGTTTAAAAAAGGATTCAACATTAAATTATTTATGATCACTAATAATTCGAGAATTAAATTGGAATGTTTGATTACTTGAATAAATTATATTGATTGATTGTGTTATGGATTGAGAGTCATCACCAAGTCTAAAATATGTAAAGAACGTAAAAAAAAAAAAGATTACGCACCAAACTCTTGGAACGTATACACCTAGAGTATGAACATATGGGGGGAGTTATGAGGTTTTATATTTAACCATAGCTTCTACTGGGAGTACATGACGCTGTATTTTCTTTTTTATTATGCGCAGGATTCCGCCACTTACGAGTGGTTCTTTTATACTAGCATGGTTAGCTCCCATTTTAGTACCTCTTTGATGGGGCAGGTTAGGGGGGAAACCCGTTCAATGCGTAATCAAATAATTAAGCAATTGAATTGTTTATTTTAAGGAATTATTGTTGTATGCTTGTAAACAGGTGCTAAAAGTTAAGTTATGTGTTGCTAGGTTGTAAGCATATTAGTGTGTTTCGTTTACGTTTATATATTCAGCATTGCTAATTATGTGTTTGTATGTTTGTTGGCCTTGTCTTTATCTTGGCCCTACGACGACCCATTTCTAATGGCGAGTAGTGGGGACAAAGTAAAGAGAAGCTTTTCAGATGGCGACATATTCATGTTGGGGCATGAGTGAAGATCGAATCTTGTTTAGTTTCCATGAGGATATGATGTGTTTATTTACTTTAAGGGGTCGTTTGGTTCGCACAGGGTAAACGGAATGGAATCAACAAAGGGAAAGGAGGAGAAAGGAAAGTTAATCCCTCATTTTTGTATTGTGTTTGTTTTACATAAACAAAGGGAATCACATTTGCAACCACAACTACTCTCCTCCTTCTACAACCAGTCAACCACCACTACCCCTTAAATCTACCATTCACCTACCACCACCACCAATTTAGCCATCACCCTCCTCACGACCTACCACTGTCTCCCCTGTCGCCTGCCTGGCCACGCTGATTCCCTCCTCTCTACTTCCGTTGATGCCCTCTTCTCTCTCAATTTTTGATTTTTTTGGGGTGGTTTTGTGGTGGATCTGGAGGTTTTGGAGATATGGGTGGTGGTTGTGTCGAATTGGGTTAAGTGGTTTACACAAAAGGTGGGTTTTTCGGGTGGGTTTGGGTCGATTTTGGTGCGAATGTTTTCGGGGAGGGTGGGTTTAGGGTGTTTTCGGTGGGGTGATTTTCAGGGAGGGTAAGGCAAGGTAAGGTGAGGCGAGGGGTTTCGGTGGTGGGCGAGGGTAAGGCAAGGGTTTTCGGTGGTGGGCGAGGGTGAGGCGAGGGGTTTCGGTGGTGGGCGAGGGGTTTCGGTGGGGTGGCTAGCTGTTTCGATGGTGGGGAGTGTGGTGTGGTGGTGGCTGGGTGGTTTTGGGTAATTTTGGTGGTGGCTGGGTGGTTTTGGGTAGTTTCGGTGGTGGCTGGGTGGTGGCGTTAGTGTGTCGACGATTTGTTGGTGGCTAGGCAATGGATCTATTGGTGGTTGGGCGGTGGTGTCGGTGGGCAGTTGGTGTTTCGAGGGTGGTCAAGGTAGTTAAAAGGTTGGTCAAGGTAGTTGGGTGAAGAGGAGTTTGGGGGTTAGGGTGATTCCCTTGGGGGGGGGGAATGAAAATAGAGGAAAATGGGGTAATGGGAGGGGTAAAGGGAATGATTGAATTTGCCTATCAAACATCAACAAAGGGAATCACGACAGTTGATTCCCTTTCCCTTTGTTGAATACCCCCAATCAAACGGCCCCTAAATATTATTTATTGCTTGTGAGACTAACGCAAATGATTTTAATTATTTGGTTGGGTTTTGAAAGGGCTTACAATGGTTCCAAGTTGTAGGTTGACTTCGTTTTATTTTCATTTGACTTTGGTTTGAATTTACTTTCGTTGGTTTGACTTGAGTTGGGTTTGATATTTTTAAAAGGATTTTTGAAACGAGTCTTCCGCTGTGTGTCTTTGATATTTGCCTTAGACGTTAACACGGTGGCGGTAATGTCTTAAAATTTCTTATTTCGTATTATATAAAGGACAAAACAGATATTTTAAAATGAAAGAATTTCTAGGGTGTTATAAAAAGTGCCTAGAATATTTTAAGGTAAAAAAAGTTGATAGATTCCTTAATGAGTTAATGCCTTATATCTAAAACCTAACGTTAAGAAAAAGACCTATTTGATATACTAACCTTATTTATGCTTGCCTAAATCCGTAAATTTTAATTGGATTTAGCGGGTTGTTTGGGCCGGACCAAAAAAACTTGCCCGTGGGCTGTTTAAAAAAAACTTAGGATGGGCAAAGCCCGACTCATTTCATGCTAATTTTAATTATTATATAGCCCGCCCAAAATTGGGACGGGTCGATAGGTCGGGCCCATCTTGATCAGGTACCATGCCATGAAATTCTAAGATTGAAGAAAAAGATCTTCTTCTAAGAAGTGCAAATCATAAGGCGCCACGTCTCCAAATTGGCGGATAAACATACTCCCTCCCTTCTCTAGCCGTTCCTTTTACAGTATTTCCCTGCAATTTTCTGGGCTTAACAATTTTTCAAATGTTCTTCTTCTGCAACACCTTCTTCATCAACATTATCTAAATTTATCTCAACTATGGAAAAACTTTCTCTCTCTTCAACGCCAACTCCATCGTTTTCTCGCCCCTTTCTCTCTCCTCTTCTACCCTCTACTAAAAGGGTGTCCTTTACTCTTACTAACCCTAAGAAATTCTCAGTTTCTGCCTCTAAAAATGACCCTATTGATGATAATAAGCTCAATCAATGGGACCTTATGGAGCTTAAATTTGGAAAAATGTTGGGAGAAGACCCTAAACTTACCTTAGCTAAGGTCAATTCTCAACCTTATCAACACTCCCTTTTCTGCAATTTTTGTATCAAGTTCATAATTATTGTGTTTTGGTTCATGTTTTTGCTGTTATTTATGTGTTTTATAGCTTAATGAATTTGTTACATGGGCATGATAATGGGTGGGTTTGCTGATATGTTTTGATTGAAATATTTAGTTAGAGTAAATTTGTATTTATATGGGTTTTCTGCTGGTTAATTTGCTTGTTTTTTTTTTTTTTGGTGTTATGTGGTTGGTGATTTAGATAAAGGGAAGAAAATTAAACCCGGATGCATCTTATGTCGATATTGAGAAGGATTTTTATAGAAACAAGGGGAAAATAGTGGAAGTGAAAGAGGTTCCATTTGATGTGCCAGAGAAGCTTGGGTCGAAAAAAGTTTCGACTGGGTTGAATTTGGTGAAACCGGTTCCAAAGAAAGGGATTGTTGTAGGGGGTGGTGAGGATAATTCTAATTTGCCTGAGATAAAGAGGCCTAGTGAGTCCATTAGAAATAAGACGATTAGTGAGGATAATTCTAATTTACCTGAGGTAAAGAGGCCAGGTGGGTCGATTAGAAATACGACGAGTAGTGTTAGTAAGTCTAATGTTCCGAATGTTATATTACGAAAACCGAGTGTGTATAATGAGGAAGACGATGAAATTTATAGTTCATCGAGGTTGAAGATTAAGCCGAATTTGACATTGTCAATGAGGACAGAACCAGTGAGGGAGAATTTTAGTGGGATGACATTGTTAAAGAAGCCTAACATGAGAGAGGCGAATGAGGATGATGGTATAAATGAAAGCAGTTCAAGAGATGGATCATTGTATGGTGGACTACTGAACAAACCAGCAAATAAATTTGAGTCTAATATGGATGATGAAGGTCAAAGCTTGACTAGATTTGGTGAAGAAATGCTGTTGGAGAAACCCCAAGCCATGGTGCCCCAGGGCACTGAAGGGATTGGAAGCAATTCTATGCCTAATGGAATGGATGACATGCTAGAGGTTTATACTGAAACGTTTCTAGAATTTGGAGGCGAATTGATTTCAAAGCAAGATGGACCGGGAGAGATCTCCCCGACAGGTAAATAATGCATTTCCTTTGATTTTGCATTCTATTCTAGGCTGAAGGTATTTGCAGAAGACTAGCTATTAATGCTTGTAAGTATTTATTTTCAAGGAATGCAGAACCTTGAGCAGACTGATGCTGGGAATTCAGGAAATGGAGACGGGGTGAGTAAATCCTCAGGTGTAACAGAGACTGCCTCTCAGTTCTTTGTTGATTCTGCTCTCCGGGGAAAACCAAAAAGGTATACAATTCTGGATACTTTCCACATGTTTCTTAACCTTAGAAAGTTTAATATGCTAATAGGGTTTTAAATAATAGATTAGACCAATCTGTAAAAGAAACATCATCCTACCCAATTCAAGAGAGTACGGTTCATGCATATCCTGAAAGGTTCGATGGTAAAGGTGTCCAGGAAGAATTGTCTCAGCCACAGCCTCTGAAGGTTAGATCTCTTATGTTCCACTGGTTATAATTAACCACTATTAATGGGGGTAGATCTGATCCTCTATGCTCTTGTAGGAAACTGAAGAGACTGCTTGGACACAATTGGAGCATCATTTTAATCTTGGAGATAAGGTGGATGTGGAATTAATTAATTGCAGTCCAAGAGGATTTGTGGTATGGATTTGACTGAAGCTTACAAATTCGTTCTTCCTTGTTTTCTATATTTGTTTTTATCTTACATATATTGGCTCCTCTTTCAGGTATCCTATGTGTCGTTAATAGGATTTTTGCCATACCGAAACCTGGCAGCAAAGTGGAAGTTCTTAGCTTTTGAGTCATGGTTGAGAAGAAATGGTTTAGATCCGTCCAAGTACAGGCAACATTTAGGTATTATAGGAAATGATGATGTTTATAAAAAGAGCAGTTCTCTTGAGTCCTCACCAGTTCAAGAAGCCAGTCATAAAGAAAAAGAAAAACCTGAAATTACTGCTGATATGGAACTGGAAGATCTTTTGAAAATATATGACCAAGAGAAGATCCACTATTTATCATCATATATTGGTCAGGTTCGATCAAATTACCATGAACTCAGCATTTTGCTGTGCATATGCTTAGATTCATGAAAATGTAGTATTTATTATGTATTGCATCTTTGCAGCATATCAGAGTGAATGTCATGTTGGCTGATAGGAAGTCCAGGAAGCTTATATTTTCTATGAGGCCAAAGGAAAAGGAAGAAACAGTTGAGAAAAAAAGAAGCCTCATGGTAGTGAGCTTTTCCATCTTGTATATGCATTTGGTTCTTTCATTTTGTAAATGCAACCTTATTTTCTTTACAGCAGATCAAATGTTCATTTGTTTAAAAACTGCGTTTTGACATCAGTGACCTAGATATTAATTCAAAATGTGATTAGGGAAGTTCCATTAGGCTACCACATATATGGGCTTCCCTATGGTAGTTGTGATATAAATGCAAGCTAATTTTATATAATAAGATCTATGATTGCGTTTGACTTATGTTACTATCATAGCCTTTTGACTTAGTGCATAACACCCCCCTCCCCCAGCAGTTAAATTGATTTACAGTTTTATCATCTTCACCTGTTGTGGTGTTGCAGATTAGTGCATATTGTGGATCTTAAATAGTTAAATGGGATGAATCTATCAGCTAGAGATACTGTGTGCTGTTACCTTCTGAATAAGGTCATAGAATGTCATATTACAGACTGTATTTTTGGTATACTTTTAGGGTGAGGGTGGGGGTGGGGGTGGGGGTGGGGGGAAAGGGTTTTCTAATAAGGTAAGAGGATCGTTATGCAAATTAGCTAGGAGCCTAGGATAACCTAGCCATTGTGGAGATGATAGAATAGCAAGAGTGACTCTAGCCATGAAGTAGTTGGCTAGTTATACTCGTAAAGTGAAGTGCAAACTATTCATAATATTCTTTGACAGCGTATGAGTCTTCATGTAGTCCAGAATACATCATACTTTCAACTTTTCGAGCTATAGGCTGTCTGCATAATGTTAGTAAAGAGACCAGCTCAAATTAATGAAGATGGGCTGCTTTGAATGATTAGCAACCTTATAAACTCTATTGGGTCCTATATCTCTGATTGAGGATCCTATCCTTCCCTTAGGCATGCTTAGATTGAAATAATGTGTTGGCGGTGTAATAAAACTCAAAGACAAAAATAAAGGTGAGAAGAGGTTGTTAGTAAGGAAGATGAAGTAATAAAAGTGCAACAAGAAAGGAGAGAGGGGGAATCTATCACCCTCCTTTGTAATAGTTATCCTAGGTTGGAGGTGGGTAAGTGCTATACCCAATATGAGGGTAATAATTTCTATCTTTCTTTTTTTCCCTTCATACTAACATATTCTCTTTAACTACCACCTCATCCAAAAGAATTACTAAGCGCTACTCACCTTCATTATCTTAGTTTGACTTATATTATCCTCATAATGTATTACCCTTAATCCAAGTATACCCTTAGTTGGCTCTCTTACTGGATGAATCATGAAAAGATGAACTATGTTTCTAACAGCTAGTGTGAAATTTTGTCAGACTCTGCAGGACAAGAAAGTAACTGTGATTGCTTTCATGAAAACTCTGAAGTTTGATATGCTTGACTAGTATTACTTGATCAGGTGACCTCCCAAGAGCCAAGCCTTGGGAGTAAGTAATGTTTTGACGGCATGTTATAGTAGTCTATTGATTAATTATACACTTTGTAATGCTGGACTGTGTTGAATCTGTTGATTACTCTCTGCTAAGACTTCATGTGGTATGTTGCTTATATTTTTTGGCTGATAACACCTACTGTTACCCCTTTGTTACTACCTTTATCCTTTTTACAACAATTACTTCGTATTTTTCTGAGTGCGTCTTTTGGGAAACAATCTCTTCTTGCTTGAAATAACGCTGCATACATGTTCAGATGTTTTCACCTCCATGGCAAGAAGTACTCTTATTTTGTAATAAGACAGGATATTAAATTCACTTAATAGAGGGTAGCAGTACTATATTTCTATGTACAGGAATTTTTGTTGCAAAATAGAGATGATTTGAGCATATGGTCCTAGAAAAGGCTATAAGCTTTGTACATAGATTTTGTAATAAAATGATTCATGATTGATTGTCACCTTTTTCTTGTAACACTAAATTTTAATGTATTTACTGTACGTTCTGACTGTAGGCAAAGCTTAGCGTAGGAGATGTTGTGAAATGCTGCATAAAGAAGATAACTTATTTTGGTATCTTTGTTGAGGTATGGAAAAACTTATTTTTTGTAGATGAGGAATCAATTAATCGATGTTCTGGTAATGAGATGAGCTTTTGTAGGTTGAAGGAGTACCTGCTTTAATACATCAGACAGAAGTAACATGGGATGGCACACTAGACCCTGCATCATACCTTAAGATTGGCCAGGTAAGGAGGCTTGCCTTTTATCATTAAAAGTGCATGTTCATGTATATAAGGAACGCCATGTAACCTGGATCTTGAAAACTCATGCTTCCTCTACCTGTAGAGATTCTAGTATTTTACAAACTCGAGAAACAGCTATTTTAGCATTTTGCATAGCTAGTAGCCTTTTTTTTTTTTTTTTTTTTTTTTTTTTTTTTTTTTTTTTTGAGGTCTAAAGAGGCTGCTTTTGCTTGCAGATTGTGGAGGCTAAAGTTTTTCAGTTAGATTTTCAACTCGAGCGCATTTTCTTGTCCCTAAAGGAGATAACAGTAAGCATGCTCTCTTATTGCTATTCTGTTTTAGGCTAATTACTTGTTGCTCAGATCTTATCTTGTATTTTCTTGAGGCAGCCGGATCCACTAAATGAGGCATTAGAATGCATTGTTGGAAACAACGGCTGCAGTGGGGGATCAAATGCTGCAGAAATTGACTCAGAGGTTTGTGCCTTCATGTTTTACCTTAATTATGCCATTTTGTGCTGCCATATTGCAAATATCTCCATATCCTTAGCTTCTCGGGAATCCTTAGTCTTACCCACATGTCAAAAAATGCTTTCATAATTGAGTACTTGTCTTAAAAAGCTATTGGACTAGTTCTGTAGTATATACTGAAAAGTGTTTATATTGTTTTGTTTGAGCTTATTGTCTAGTTAAAATTCTATGTAGAGAAGGAAGCCATAAGTCATTAACAAAATTTGTAACTTACTAATCTTGGCTAAGTTAATTTCATAAATTGCAGTTGCTTAGGGAAATAATTTTGTCATCAACATAAATCCTAAAACCCTTGTAGAATCAAGATGGATGTAATATGCATATTTTGTGGCATGATGCTGAAGCTAATTATTGCCTTTTATTGAATTATTGATTCACAGCTTAATTGTTTATGGGCATGTAGTTTGGTCATGGTCGAACTTAACATTATTTTCTTGAATTTATTAACCAGTGGGCTGAGGTGGATTTACTTTTTAAAGAACTGCAAGCAATTGATGGTGTTCAGAAAGTCACTAAGGGCCGGTATTTCTTGAGTCCTGGTTTAGCTCCCACGTTTCAGGTGAGCTCAATGTGGTGTCAATATTTATCTCAATTGTAATAGGTGTCTTTCACATTTCTATGAATGAAATATGTGATTGTTTGCCAATAGTCGCTTAAAATGAGATCTTATGGTGATGAGCCATATGTGCCGCTAATTACCATGATAGTGTTAGGGCCTTGAGGACTTAAGTAGTTTACATTAAACAGAGTGCGGCTACATATTTATTTCCTTTGTTTATTACTTCATTGCATCTTTTTTGTTTGGGGAATTAAATGTCATCAATACATAAATTGCTGTTTGTGGATTCATCTTTTGTAGTAAAAAATAGTATTGTGCACTCTCACAAGAGGTAAAAACATATCAAATGTCGTCGAATAGTATAAAATGTCAATATGTCATTCATAGGAAGATTAGTCTTGTGCACTGTCAGAAAAAGCAAATGCTCCAATGTTTGTGCTCTTAAAATAAATAAAAATCCCTGGGACATTTATTTATTGATCAAGCCCTTTCAAATAAGGGGACGTTTTATCTAAAGTCCACAATTTTGTCTTCTTGAGTAAGCTTTTGCTTTTAATCACTCTCGTGGTCTTATATCTCCATCTAACTCTTCTTTTCAGGTTTATATGGCATCTATGTTCGAAAACGAGTACAAGCTACTAGCTCGATCTGGAAACAAAGTACAGGAGGTAATGTTCAAACTTGTTGCTATGTAGTGTTTCTCTTAACATCAGACTCTCGTAATCTCGTTGCTCCCTGTGTGTGGCAGTTCCATCCTTTTATGATGGGATCAGATAGTTGTTAGTTTCATGTTTGGTCCACTGAAATATGCCTCATAAGATTTGCCATGACTAATATCAATTATCTGATTTTTGATAAATTTGTGTTCTTTGTTGATTAATTAATATCAACTCTGTAAATTCTCTCTCCCTGATTTTTGTAGTTAATGGTTCAAGCATCACTGGATAAAGAAGAGATGAAATCGGCGATTCTCAATTGCACAAACAGAGTTGAGCTATGATTTTGATCAACCTCTACCTCCAATATGTACATTCTCTCCTTCCACAAATTGGCGATTCTTAATGCTTTCATCTTTTCTCTTGATTTGGGGCTCCCTAACCTTTGTTTATTTGTTGATTGTAATTTCTTAGTTGGGATTGGGATATTTTGGTTCTTATACTATCCTACGAGGACATGCTATAGGATCTTATATTACCTGTAAGGCTGTACCAATTATACGAACAATACCAATCAGCAGAAATTATCATCCATTTAAATTATATTCAGTAATCACGAATGTAAATAAAGAGTGTTTGTTATATAGTTTTTTTTTTTTATTTTTTTATTTTTTTTATTTTTTATTTTAGTCACTATTTTTCTTTTCATTGTTCTCAATCTTCACTTCTATGGCAAAATAGCTACTCTACGTACACAAGCAAAACCCATGAAACTTTTGCATGTATGTAATTCTACTACGTACAATATTGTTTGGAAACAAACTTTTTTTGACCATAATTTTAGTGACACTTTACATTTGATTAGCTCTATACATTGTCCTTATTTCATTAAATGGCAAACCATATATGGTTTTGGGCCTATTTTAACCCTAATATCCTAAATAACTAACCTACCTCCCAAATATTTTACGTAGTATTAACCCCATACCCAAAACCAACCCCTTCGCCCTCCATTATTCCCGGCCACCCCTCTTCCATTATTCCCACCCCACACCCAGTCGGCCAGCCCCTTAATTTTTCTTTTTTTTTTTGTCTAATTATTGAGGAAAAATCTTATCCTCAACTTTTGTATTGTTTGCGTCTCAAGTCTCCTGAATTTTGTACTCCATATTATTATTATTATTATTTTTTTTTTTTTTGAAAGGCTGTACTCCACATTATTTATTATCAAAAGTATTAATTTTGTGACATCTCAAGCCTCCTCAATTAGACACTAAGGAACGACTTTGTTCTTAAAATAAAAAGAAATAAAGGAACCCTAATGTTTGGTTACTAAAGATTTATCAAAATAAACATCTTTATTAAATCAAGATTCAAGAAGCATACGCATTAGAGTATTACATACATACAATATGGTCAATATCTATCTAACTTTGTTACTATTCTTGTAATAACTACTAATCTCTAACAAATTACAAAATCAAATCTTATCACATTGGATTTGTAACTATGCAGCATCAATAATTCAACAATCGATCTAAATCAATACACCAAATTAAACTTCAATTAAAAGTTCTATGGCAAAATAATAAACCTACACAAGGGACAAGTCTGACGATCATACAACCACTTCCACAAGCAACTCCCATGAAACTTATGCATGCACGTAGTTCCCGAAACCGTTTCTCCAACTTCAAATTCTTCTTGACAAACACCACAGACTTCTCCTCTATCTTCTTCCAAAACAACCGTGTCTTTCATCGCCATTTCACGTGGATCAACCAGCATCTCTTTCACCATTATCTTGGCCTCGATGTGCATAAACTCGAAGTATGTCTCATCAAACACCGTGGTGAAATCCCGGCCACTAGCTTCCGCCCTTCTCCTAGCCACCTCGGCAAGACGGCCTTTGGTCTTGGCTAGGGTGTTCATGAGTTCGTCCCCTTCCTTGGAATCCAAGTCATGGTACTTGGAGTATTCGCCCCAATTGGTTAACTTTCTTAAGATGTCTACCGTTATTCTTGCTAGCTCTACGACTTCCGAAGTATATTCATGATTAACTTCCATTCTAGAAAATTGTTGAGAAGATTGAGAGAGGATAGGATGATGAACTTCCATAATATGGTGGGAAATTAAGTGTGTCTCGAAAAATATGGTTGCAATGCAATAATATGGATAATTATTACAAATAAAAAAGATCTTATGCTATGAAGTTATGTGAAACTAAAATGTACGTACATATATTATACAGCTTTTGGGTCGGTAATACAATCTAGGGCGGTGGCAACTTCTTAAAATTATTCTAATTTAATCTAATTAAGTAAAGTTATATGATATGAACTAATTCTATCATAAAGTTACTTACCAAAAAAAAAAAAAAAAAAAAAAAAAAAAAAAAAAAAAACTATCATTCTATCATGCATATAGTTATATCACTTGTTATCCAAAACCTTCCTAATATAGGAAGCGGAAGCTTCTGCGCGCATGTAACCCAAGTACCCTAGTATTTTATTTATTTATTTATTTATTTTTAATAGGCTCCCAATACCCTAGTATAATCTATCATCTCTGAAATATTAATTCCTAAAATAATTCTATGTAACAGACAAATTCCAATTTTGTATGTTTATTTTTACAAATTCTTAAATAACCTGGTTCATATTAATTTATTGTGAACCATAACATTAGATACACTATGATTGTTTTATTAATAAAGAAAAAGGTCACTATTACAATAAGGGTTATTATATTGAAATAAAAGTCATTTTGGTATTATAAAGGCTATAAGCGATTAATTTTTTTTTATTTTTTTTAATGAAATTTCTTGTATACTGGTCAATATGAATAATAAAGATCATGATGTTAGAATTAAGGTCACTATGTTCAATATAACGTCGTACTTAATGTTCACAATAATATTAAGGTCACACATTTTTTAATAAAGGTTACTATGTTAAAAATAAGGTCACTATGTTCAAATTAGGGTCACTATGTTCAATATAATGTCAGTTGCGTGCGTATAAGCTTCAAGTCCACAATAATAATATTGTGGACCAGGTCCACGCAAGTTTTTTCCGTTTATTTTATAAGAAAAATCTATCTAACTCTAAAAGAAATTCCTAAAATAATCTTATTTGAGATTTGTTAGTTGTGAGACTTGTGTGATAAATTTTTAGTGTCAAATTATTTGCCTTGCCACACAAGATTATTTAAATTTTAAATAATTATTTGTACCCCAATGGCTAAAGATGGCACTATGCAAGCTGGCCCAAGGCCCGGCACGAAAAAAGCACGGCACGACATAGGCATGATGCAGGCCTGGCCCGACATGGGACGACACGTTACTGTGCGTGTGGGCCGTGGGCCGCCTTTATTTGGAAGAAAGTGACACGACAAAACATGCTAAAATCAATGAAATTTTAAATTAATACCACTTTAGTCTTTAGATAATATTTTAAATGTTTATCTAACACCTCGGGGCGTTCTTATTTAAATACTTGACTTTTGCCCGGTGTTTGTTTCTTCCTTCTAGTCTTTGAAATACAGAATATCAAAGGGTTGATCACCGTTCCTATTCGTTCTTGTATCGAGGAACTTTATGGTCTTGTTGACTACAATACTTTTTTTTTCAGCTCTAGATTGGTTAAATTAGTTGATTTTTTTATTGTTTTGTCAATTTTCGAAATTTGCACCGAAATTTACAGTTTGTTTGGGTAATGTTAAGGGAAGGAAAAGAAAGGAAGGGAGGTGAAAGGGAGGGAAGAGAAAGAAAGGTGAAGGAAGAAGGATGAGTTTTCCTTCCAAATCTCTCCATTGTTATAGGGATCATTTTCTTAGAATTTAGTCCCTCCATTTATCTCCCCTCTCATTCCCTTCATCCCTAATTTTTTATCTATATGAAAGAAACTTTTTCCCTCCATTTCCCTTCCCTTCCTTTCCCTCTATTTCCTTCAATCCAAACACACTCTTAAGCAAGTCTTCTTGCTTAAAGGATCGGAGCAAGTCTTCTTGGTTTTTTAAACCCTGAGTTTTTTTTTTCTTTTTTATGACATCTTTTGACCTTGAGTTCTTGTTGCTCGGAAATTAGTTAATAACACTCTCCTAAGGTTTTTTTTCAACTCTAGATTGGTTAAATGAGTTGATTTTGATTCTTTATATAGTAAATTAGATGAAAGCCCGTGCGATGCACGGTTTTTTCATCTAAAGTTTTTAATTATTTGATTTATTGTGTTTAATAATTTCAATTAAAATTACAAAAGTTTAATTTTAAATTTTTTTTTACTGTAATTTATAATACAACTTTATTCATTATAATTGAATTTATTAAATATAAATAAATTGTAAATATGATATTTTATCCGTTACCTAAAATCTTTTATGTGAAAAGATAAATTTTTAATTTTTTAAATAATTTAAATCCTAAATCCTAAATCATCATTCATGGTTTATGTTAGCAAAAAATTAAATCTTTACATTTATACAAAGTAAATCAATATATTTACTAATAAATGAAAAATTGTCGTGAAATTGATCAAAAAATTGTAATTGTATAAAATCAAATCTATGCATTGGAATTTTTTCATCATCTCCAATAATAGCGAAAGTCATCCATATAATAAGTATACAACATCAAATCGTGTGTCATTTGCCTTAGCTTCTTCTTACAATTTTTAAAATTAATTTGAAATAGTTGCATTAAATATATGTATAAAAGCCAAAAAGTAATTAATTTCAACCATATATGCTTTTACAATGCTCAACATAAAATTTCTTAGTAACTAAACTAAGCTAGTCAATAATTAGCTAGCTTCCAAATTGTTACATTTTGTCTACAATGTCGTGGAGAATATACATCCATTACATCTTTAATCAAAAGTAGTATGATATGAATTGCATCAATGAGATCAAGACCACTAATTGCAATTAAAATGCGGTCCATCCCTGTGTTTATTCATGCATGGAACTTTTATTAAATCAATATAATGACAAAAAATCAAGGCATTGGATTGGAATGATTGAAAAGTATCTAAAGAAGTAAACTTTTTCTTCAATCAATTTTTGATGAAAGTGTTGAACAAAGCTGGTGTTAATTGAGGCATGAACGTAATCACCCTATAATTAAAAATAAGAAATTAAGTTAATTTAATAACTTGATTAAGCCACTTAAATTACAATTTTTTTTAATAAAATTAATTAATAAAAAACTAAAGAGGTATATAAAAAAATATAATAAATGTAAATTAAACAATTTATTTAAAAAAAAAAAAAAACCTCCTCTTCCATTAGGACCATATCCAAACTTTTAAGCTATGTTGTTTATAGAAATTTAGTATGTCAAATAGGCGAAAAACTTGAACTTTGATTTTCCAATCATTTTTGCTCGAATTTAATTCTCTAATTAAATTAGATCTGCATGTAAAAACAAAATTCAATAAACAAAACATAAACCGATAATCGTTAAGTATCCCAAATAAATACAATGTAAGTAATAATTACAAATATAAATTAATTTTAAAAATTACCCCAGACATTGATAAGCTAAAACTAACACAAAATCACTAACACAAAATTCACTTGATGAGGTTTTATATTGATACGAAATTTTGTTAGTGTTGTATGATGCGTTAGATCTGCATGTAAAAACAAAATTTAATAAATAAAATATAAACATATAATCGTTAAGTATCCCAAATAAACACAATGTAAGTAATATTACAAATACAAATTTAGATATAGGAGTTTAGAAATTAAGCTAAAATTACCCGACCATTGATGACCAAAAAGTAACACAAAATTGGCTTGATGCGATTTTGTATTGATACGAAATTTTGTATCGTATGATGTGTCAATTTATAATGGTAGGTATCACAAATTTTGATTTAATTATAATTAACGAACAATTTTTATTTCTTATCATAAATACTATTAAAATTTATCTTATAATGGAAGGTATCAAACTTTATTATAATCATTTATCATTTGAATATTTTTTATTTATTTTATTGGGTTATCATGAAGTCATATTTTCATTCCATGTATATCTACATGTACTCATAAATTATCATATTATAGTGACGTATTTTTCTATTTGAATCCACCATATTTCTCCACCATATCATAAATTAAAAAAAATTAATATTTGAACCCACTATATTTCTCCACCAAGTTTAGTTACGTGGGGATAATTTTCACCATATCATAAATTTTTAAAAAAAATTAATATTTGAACCCACCATATTTACAGTTACGTGGAGATAATTTTTGGATAGTAGGATATTTTTATAATTTGAACCAATTAAATATCTTTTTGGAGATTTATCTTTTCCTATATTTTTTTGGATTTCTTATACTCGCAGTATTGATTTAATGAATTTATCTTTTTCTATATTGTACTTTATTTTTTTCCATTAAAATAATTTAATTCGTGGATTATAATCTACGTGGCATTAAAATTTTAGATATATCAAATCTAATTCGTTACTTTTATCTAGGTGGCGATATAATTTTTTAATTCAAAAATAAAATACACATCTTTTTCTTATTGGTCGAAATAATTATATTTCTTACGTGGCTCTCCGAATGCTCTCCAAAAATGCCTACTTTATTTATATACTAGGTTAGAACCTGTGCGATGTACAGTTTATATAAAATCTATTTTTATAATTTGTACATTTAAAAAAAATAGAAAAATATAAATAAGAATTATGAACCTTGTACAAAAATATTTGTAATTTTATAGTTTTAGATTTTCATCAAAATTATGATATAATACCTGTCATCGCGTAATACATATTTCAATATAGGAGTCCATTTATTAGTGTGCTATTTACAATTGTTTCATTTTTTAAAGATAAATTGATAGGTTGTAGTTGTAATGTAGAAGCTTCTAATATTTAAATTTAGGAATTTTTAAGTACGATAGCTCCACAAAAAAAAAAAAAAAGGTTTAATATGTGAGTGACATGTGGACAATGATGATGTCAGCAATGTTTTGTTTTAGTAATATTTAATAGATTAGATTTTGATTTTTTTTTCAAATAATTTCATTCCACGGATGCGTTTTTTTTATATACTCTTTTTCCTTTTGTTTTTGACATGAGACTGGCTTTCTTTTAGTTGCACAATTTGATTTTTAAGCTCATTTATTAATTATTATGTTTTTTTTAAGTAAAAACTATATAAAAAATAATATACAAAAATACACATTGAAACAAACAAATAATACGGTGTAGGCAACTTGATTACATATCTCACATGAAAGTTATTTAAAATTGGGCAAAAAATAACCAACGCCTCAGGGGCGTTGGATAAAAAGATAACTAAAAGTAGAAATATTAAGTTAACTTGAAATAAACATTAATTACACCGATCGACACGTGATTTTGGCATGCATTACCAAATTAATTAGGGGTGTTTGCGGTGCGGTTTGCATTTTTTTCAAACCGCACTTATAACCAAACCGCACCGCAAAATGCGGTTTGGTGCCGTGCAGTTTGCGGTTTAGCCACATTTAAAAAAAAATATAAATATTTTTTTAAAAAAGATTTTTTATTTCATTTTGTGAATATTAATTTATAATTTAAATATTTAACTCTTTTTTTAACTTTTAATTAGCTAATAGTAAAAAATTACATCATAATTTAAGCTATTTTATATATTTTTAATAGAAATAGTATAAAATTGGTATAACGGTTTGCGGTTTGACGGTCTAAACTGCAAATCGCATTAAAGTGCGGTTTGGTCATTTTCGGAAACCGCACCGCAATTTTCATATCGCAAACCGCACAAAACTGCAAAATTGCTGTTTAGTATGGTCTAGACTGCACTCTGAACAACCCTAAAATTAATACTATCTTCGTTTCTATTTGTTAGTCCTATATATTGTTTTGGGTGTTTTAAAAAGATCTACCCATATTGAATGTATTCCATTTTTGACTTGGGTTTTATTTCCTATTTTATACATATTAAATTCTGATTGGTTAAATTAATTTATTGTTGATTGATGACATGACTCTAAGTAAGGAATCCCTCCCTTAAATTATGCAATTATGGCTGATGCTTTCCAAAAAAATCAAAAAATTTAAATAAAGCAAAACTAATTATGAAATGTTTTTGTACTTTAATGTTAGATTCCAAATATTTTTTTCTTCTTATTTTATGCGGTTGATTGCATATGGGACTATCATATGAAAGCGGAGTGAGTAGCATTTTATGAAATATTTTAAAGGGTTATCTAACGCCCTGGGAGCGTTTGTTAGGGCTATTCATCGGTCCAAGACCAGACTGGACCGGAAATTGAATTTCAAGAACCGAAAACCGGACCAATTAAGCTAGGACCGGACCCGGACCGGACCGGTTTGGATCGATTTTAGAATTTTTATAAAAAAATTTCCTAAATTTTAAATAATTTATGGAAAATTCGAAAAAAAATAATGGAAAACAATATTTTAACGTCTGTTTTTGTATATTTAGTTCAAAAAACCTCATACGACTAAAGTTTTCCAAACTTGTTAAGGATAATCTTAATCATCATTAAAGGTATTATGTATAATTTTAAGCAAAAAAAATCAGTTCGGTCCAAGACCGGTTCTATATGGTCTTGGAGCGGACCGGAAAATAAATTTCTCGGCTCGGAGACCGGATCGATTGATTTGGTTTGGTCTGGTTCGGGGTCGGTCTGGACTGGTCTGATCTATTTTTCAGTCCGGATTAATTTTTAAACACCCCTAGCGTTCGTTAGCAAGATTCTTATTATAGATCAATTAAAATACTCCGTATCCATATATAAAAAATCAATCAAGATTCAAGACATTTAACAAATCGGACTTACCCTCATTAACAAAAAACACACAGTCCCGTCAAAAAAAAAAAAAAAACAAAAAAAAACAAAAACAAAAAAACACATCTAGATTCTAGATGTACCATTCCCGCTATTAATATAATGACTAAAATACCCATACTTCCAAATTCCTTAACATACCCCTTTGTTGTTCCTTCTAAGTTCCAAGTTACAGACTTCTACTTGCAGTACAATGCAAGCGCCATCAAACAACAAGAAAACAAGTTGAAAAAATTTAATTTTTTTTTGGATCCATCTCAATTTCTATTCTAATCTCTTCTATTCAACTTATAATTTAATTAACTCAACGGCTTCTTTCCATTTTCTCTCTCTTCTGTTTCAGAGAAGATGGGTTCTGAAGGTGCAGGAACTAGCACCTTTGTCATTAAATGGATCAACTTTCTCACCACGGTAATACTCTACTCTTTATTTACCGGCCACGGCTTGAATTAGTCGTCACGTTGATAGTGTAATTTAAATTAGTAACGCACCAATTAAGCCGGACCGAGTAGGGACTAGGGAGCATTTCTGTATGTGTTTCATACTTTCATATTCTGATTATTTGATATGGGTTTCTATTATTGGGAAATGGGTTTGTTTTGAATCTGGTTAATTTTGAAATCTCTGCTACTTTTGGGTGTTATCAATTCAATGCTAATTTGTGAATTGGGTTTTGCTTATATTGTGATTATGTGATGTGATGCAGCTTATAGCATTGGGAGTAATTGGATTTGGAATATGGATGAGCAGTCATACTGATGGTTGCAGAAAATCTCTCACTTTTCCTGTTCTAGGCCTTGGTGCTATCATACTTGTAGTGTAAACCCTTGTTAATTTCTTCATAATTTTCATTTTTTTTAATTTTTATTAAAAAATGCATATTTGGATATCTATGATGATGTATTTTAAATCCCTTTTTGGATTACAGATCATTAATTGGGTTAGTGGGAGCCTGGAAGAACAACTCAATCTTATTATGGATTGTATCCTTTGTCTTGAATTCTTAATGAATAAATAGGGTTGATTTCATTGTTGTTGCTGTTATAAGGTTTCCTTGACCTTTGTTCTTTTTTCAGTACTTGATACTGTTATGTTTGATACTCATCGCCATTTTGATCTTCACCGTATTGGCGTAAGTATTTTTCTTCCGAGTGTAATTCTTTGTTTCTTCAATTAGCTTAAGTTAGGCATTAATAAGGGTTGATGGTAGCTTTGTGTTAGAATGTTAGCACTATAGCTATTCATGTGGTGAGAATTTGTTTGTTTCGAGTCTTTGTTTATGTATGGACTATTGTCATTATCGGTACATTGTAGCTGAAAAACTTTACCTTGTCAGCACAATTTAGCTGGTTATTGATACTTGGAAGTTATGAACTCTTGCCAGATGGTCATCTTACCTTTTATGTCCACTTGATGTCAGAAAATTGTAAGAGAATTTCACTTGAAAAGCTGTTTGGATTCTGTAAAACCTCAGTCAAGTAGGAGACGAGTGGGGGAAAATCTTGTTCTTTTATTAGAATATTAGTCTAAATAAGTGCACAAATGGTTTCTTCTATAAAGCAAGCTCAGAAATGAGAGATTATGGCTGGAAATGAAAATATCAATGCTGATCAAAGCGGTGTGTTATGATGGTGTAGATAATTGTGCTGTCTAACAGGCTATTTTTTGTGGTTGAACACTTCCTTTGGACGGGGTAAATAAGCTTTGGATAAAAAGAAAATAAGGACACTTGTTTATTGGATGTACAGAAATGGAAGTTGTGAACCCTTCTCTAGGTCATCATGATTTATCACTTTAGCTCCTTTCTATGTGTGATAAAAGTAGCCTTTGTATAGATATATCATAAAAGTACTATCTTTCTTATCTATAGTCATTTGTTTGCTTCTTTGGTAAAAAAACCCTATATTGATGACTTGTTCAACAAAAATTTTATAATAAATTTTCAATACCAATCCTTTAAGAGATAGAATCAGAAATGAGGTTATTTGCAAGAAAGTAGGTGTGGCAGGCATTGCAGACAAACTAAGGGAAAGTCTCCTGCCTTGGTTTGGGCATGTAAGACGGAGACCCGAGGGTGCTGGTGCACCAGTACGAACAGTGAGACCATGGAGGGGTTAAACGAGGGAGAGGAAGATTGAAAATGACTTGGTTGGAAGAAGTTAGGAAGGATATGAAGTATATGGATTTGCATGAGGATAAGGCATTGGATCGTAAGGGTTGGAAAAGGAAGATTTTTGTCGATGACTACACGGAATAACCACTTTTGGTTCATGTAGCCGACCCCATTTATGGGATTAAGGCTTTTATTGATTAATTGATTGATTTTCAATACCAATCCTTTCCTATTTCATGTTCCCAATTGTTTATCCTTAATATGTTGCAATGCAACTATACTCATTTTCATTATAGTTGCTTCCGTTTTTTTTGGGCTCACTCTGTCTTTCTACCTCTTTTATTTTCTTATTATAAAAAATGTTCCTACCAAACTATACAATTAGATTCCAAACTCTTTAGGTCTTCTTCTGAATCTTCACTTGGTCAATGGGTAGTTGGCTTTGTAGGTTGGTGAAAAGGTGGATAACCTGGCTGCAGTAAATAACTTGATTGTTCTCTTTCTGGATTTTAAGTATTAATTAAAGATATGTTTAGTATGATGAGAAGATCAGGAAGGAAAGTCAACTGTTATAGTTTAAAACTTAGAGGTAGGCAATGAGATTATGGGATAACTTTTGATGTATTAGATAGTTAGGCCAAAACAATATATTAAAAATGTATTTTTAGTGAGGAATTTATGCAGTTGATAGCTTCTACTGAGAAGGGCTTTATTTGGTTTCCAAACTCCTAATGTTGTTTGTAGTGCCTTTCCTTTTTATAGTGATGTCGTTGGTTTCTAGATGATTATGTATATTCTCAGTTTCCTTCTCACGTGTAAAATTAAGTTCTGAGGCAAATGATTCTTTATGTATCAGATTTATTGTGACAAATAATGGATCAGGACACAAGGTGGCTGGATTAAGGTAATATCCTAGACCCAGGTTCTGCTTTTTAACCTTTAGTTTTGTTGTGGCAACAGTCTAATGTCAAATTTAAGTGGAATTTTGTGGATACATGCCTAAATGTGGTCAAAACTGTTAATTTGCTTTGATATTTTACTTTTGTTCAATTACTCTTGTTCCTATTCTTATCTCATCAGATATAAGGAGTATCAACTGCATGATTACAGTTCGTGGTTTCTGAAGGAAGTAAGAATTCTGGGCTTACAAACTTGGGGAGAGATACTGATTATGGATGACAACTTGAGTTACATAGCTAATTTAATTTCTTTCAGCTAAATAATACCCATAACTGGAAGAATTTGAAGGCCTGTCTTGTGAAATCGAAGGACTGTGCTAATCTGTCCAAGAAGTACAAGGTCTGTCTTCCATATTCCTTCTTTAACTGTTAAGTTATATTCTTTCCATCTCAGAATAACAATGCACAAACTTTACGGATTTGTGTGTATAACTCATATTTACTAGTTTTTGGTTTTTGGATTTCAGATTTTGAATTTGTATGATATAAGTTGTACAATGAACTGAAAATTAGTAGACATGACACATGAATTAGCCGCACAAATTTTGAAACTTGTGACCAAAAGCTGGGGAACTACTGTCTAGTTTCCAAAAACTTGTTTTTAGTTTTCAATAATTGAATACTCGTTACAATAACAAACCAACCTTAAGAGGATGGTAAATTAAGAGAGTAAGCTAAAAATAGTATTCCCTATGGCTTATGCGGTCAAATGTTTGAGATGATATTATAAAAATAATAGATTAAAAGGTTTTACGCATTGAACAATTGAAAATTCTTGATCTTTCAATGCAAAATTAAGAGTCAACAGTAGTTGCTCAATTTCTCTTTTTCTTTAAAATCTGTATGATGACAATGAACAGGGGATGCCATTCCATGTCTAATCAAAGGTTATGGACTTATAATATTTTCTAGAAGAGTGGAGAACCTAATCCTAATTTCTTATCGGTGGAATAGGGAGCCACAAAGTGATTTGATCCCAGGTCTTTGTTACACTTTAAGACTATAATTGTCTAAGCTAGCTGACATCCACTAATCCTAAGTATGGAGTAAAATATACTTGGGTTTTCCTAGGAAGCTTCCTGATCATTTGGGGTTTCTGATTTTGAATCTATATAATTCACACTATATAGTAGATCATTGCAGACTGACGCATGACTTAGGTTTGTGAATTGTGATAGACCATATAACTTTACTGATCTTTACTGCTCTTAATTGAATCTGTGTTTTATGTAAACAAAGACAAGCAATGACTGTCCAAAATCCATATACTAGCATGTCTCAGTTTGGCAGGATTATTAGTTTTATGCATTCCAACAAAATGTTTATAATTCTGACCACAATATTGATCACTACTTCAAGTTAAGCATATAAATATTTTTGTGAATGTGCTTGTTGAGATGATTATGATAATCAGTACATCATTTGAAAAGTTACCAAAATTATCAAGTTTTAACATGGTGCCAAATATAAAATGTAACTTTGTATCAGAGGGAGTTTGGAAATAAGGGGTTTTCTTGCACTGATAGATATAAAATGTGATCTTTTGGAACGGGGGATGCACAAATTACTATTGTGTTTACAATAATCTTTTTGTATCCAGTACAGACTTTGAAGAAGTATAAAGCAGCAAAACTGACCCCTATTGAGGCTGGTTGTTGCAGGCCGCCATCTGAGTAAGTTTCCAATACTCTAGTTTCAAAATATTAAAAGCAAATAATTTTATCTTCCCCTTCTCCATTTTCAGTGGCAACAATTATCGAAAATTGTTTCAAATTGAAATTACATTCTTTCTTCTTTATCTTTGACTCGTATTACCTGGGATTCGCTGGAAGCTGAACTCAGTTGTTGGAACTTGGAATTATTCATCATGCGTTTGTTGAGATATTTCTTGTTGCTTTTGTATATTGTTAAGCATCATTGACCAAGTACTCAATTGCAATAGATGTGAGGGATGTCTGTGACACAGCTGTAGCCTAGCGTTTTAAAAGCTTGTTTTCTATCCACCTGTTAGGTGTGACTATCCTGCTGTCAATGCTTCATACTATGATCTGAGCTATCATCCGGCTAGTTTTAACAAAGATTGCAAGTTGTACAAGAACAAGAAGACCATTAGATGCTACAATTGTGATTCCTGCAAGTAAGTGTAATTCACCTTAAAATTCTTGCGTATCTTTTTCCATTGTAACTCGATTTGTTTGTCAATTATAATGCGTTTGCTTGTACTTTTTCAGGGCAGGAGTTGCTCAGTACATGAAAACTGAGTGGAGGGTGGTTGCAATATTCAATGTAGTCCTTTTCGTTGTTTTGGTAAGATATAGAAGTCAAATACTACCCACTTAATGAATCTACTCGTACATATTTTCTATAGCCTAATACTAGCTTGTGTGCATAATAAATAAGTTTTTGATCTCCAAGCATAAACATGCATGCATCATCATCATATAGGACTAGAAACGAAATGTCTGCTCTTTTTCTCATTTCTTGCTTCCACTTTTTCTTGTATCAGTCAATAGTGTACTTTGTGGGATGCTGTGCAAGGCGAAATGCGGCCTCTAGTTGCTCGAAAGGTTGATGAAAAGACCGTGATCAGTTACAGGAATTGAACAAGAACACAATCAAGCTTTATATTGTGAAGATTTGAGAAATCTTTTCATTTGATGTATAATTGTTCTCGCTTAGTATATTAGGCTCATTCAAAACACTCTAACCATTATTTTAGGGAAAAAAATTGAGAGAAATGACTAATTTACTAAGATTATAGATCAAGGGTATTGATCTTAGTATTTCAATGGCTACATTAAACTTATAGTCGTAAAATTTTCCATCACTGTATTATTCTTTCGCCTTTGTTCTTTTGGGCATCCATTATGTGTTAAATTCATTGTTCACTGTGGTGTTCTCTTTTCCATATGCTACATTATTTAGGGAAAGGGTGCGAAAATTTTAGACAAGATGAATACGTTAGCTATGAAACATAACGATCCCACTATCTTGAATTAAGTCATTATCTATCCTGCATTTGGAAAGAAGTTGTACTGTCAAACTAAGATAATATAATAAGGATACATTTGTAAAGTTGTTTATGTTTTTAATTAAATGATTAAAGACATTGTGGCACCTAATTTGAGATGTGTATTACATAATTATTGTCTTTAATGATTAAATTTTGTCATTAAATTGTTTACTGACATTATGTCATTATTGACCGTATTGTTATGATTTTCATCAAATAGTGAGTCACATAAGACTTTAGGTCTATCAAAATTTAAAAGAGACTTGAACTCAAAAACACTTTAAGGATATGAAATATAAGTATATTTTTTAAGGACTACTATCTAATGTTTCATCTAGAGTTCTAGACCCATACAAAGGATTGTCAGTTTGTCATTACTAGATTTGCTACACTACTTAGACTTGACAAAATTGAGTCAAACTCAATTATTTGACTTGAATTATTTTGGTATGAGACTCGAATTTATCCAAGTAGAATCCCTAACTTGAATTGAATTGATTTTGGCCGAATTAGTAAGCCCGAACTGAAACAATCTAATAGACTGAAGATCAATGTAGTAGATGAGGTTTCAGGTTTTGGGGACAACCCCCATCACTTTAACCAAATAAGCTAGTTGACATCCACATGATGACTTGATCATGTCTCTTGTGACCCTTGTTTAAATTGTCTCTCTTCTGCTCATTACTTGAGAGTCAAACTTAGAATAGCTCTGACTTGACTTATTAAAGTCTCAAATCAATTCAAACTCGCATGAACTAGCCTTGATTGTGCTCATTAAGATAAGTATAGTATAAATTACTAAAACCGTCTAGACTATTTTGATACTTCGTATAATTATTCAATAATTTAGGATTGTTACTAGTATCAAGGTTATGAATAATTTATGAACATAAAGTACAATCGTATAAATTGGAATTATTTGCATTAATGACGATATCAAATCAAAAATCGAAATTACCCAAACGGCCAAACGCACACTAAACTTGAATCGACCCGACTCAAACCGGTCCAAATGACCCTATTGCCAAGTCTACCACAAGCTCTACCGCTCTAGTCCTCTACAACATACTTACAGATTCAGATCCCGATTTCGAACCTGAGCAAAAACACGCCAACACTTGTCCTCTCTTCCTAAATTTCTGCATTTATGCTAAAACCCCTAAAACCCCAGTAGCACACATTTACTCTAAAATCCCCGATTCAAAAGTTCTTCCCAAGCACCCACTTATCAGTGATTTGTGGGCATACATTTTGCCAGGTTTAACGATCTTCCACCTTCTTCTTGTTTTTTACTCATTAGTGGAATATTTCTATGCTTGATGCTCTTTGTTATATTGCCATTTTGTTCTTGTTTCACCCATTTCTGTGATTCATAGTTTTTTCATTAATTTGTTGGTATTTGATTGTTAAATTTTGCTCCTTTATTAATTTTATATGGGTTTAGTGATGTTGCCAATTTCATGCATATTTACTGTTCGATGAAATGCCCAAGAGAATAGACGTTTGGTTGAATATTTAATGTTATTGTTTGCTTTTGTTGAAGGAAGCTATATTTTTGCATAAAATTCATTGATAATTAAATAGAGCTTGTGAAATTTCTGAGTAGATGATCAAATTTTGTATTGAAAATTTTTCTCTGGGTTTCTAATGCTTCTGTTTTAAGATGTCTGAAGTATCTGCTCCTATGTATATTGCAGAAATGCGGGGTTTGATGACCTGATTCAATATCCTTCTTCAGTAAATTGAGTAATTTTGAGTTGTCGAATTTTTAAGGAAAAGTAAGCTCTGGGGAAGTAAGCTTTAGCAAAATTTGGCAGTCATATGCTTGCTCTTCATTGTGTTTTTTTGTTCTCTCGGTCCTAGTTGTAGTAATAAATAGGATGATGCGATGGAGGAATTACTAAAGAACCCGGTATTTGCAAGCCATCTTCTTGCTGCTTCAGGTTCTGTGGCAATAGGCACTGCTCTATCTTACCCTCTGGACACTGTCAAAACTCTCATCCAAGTTGGTGCTAGTTCCAGCAAGAAGTTAACTGCCACTCAGGTTTTGGAAAGGGTTAAATCTGTATCGGGATATCCAGGTTTGTACTGTGGTATTGGTTGGCTAACTGTGGGAAGAATCACAGGTCTGGGTGCTCGATTTGGGGTCCATGAATTTTTGACAGCCTTTTATAAAGATGGTCGGATTGATAATTATGTTTATGTTTCTGAAGCCCTTTTATCGGGAATTATATCTGGGGCCTTAGAGTCTTGCCTGAACTCTCCATTTGAGATGATAAAGCTTCGAAAACAGGTTGCTGCAGCTATTCCTGTACCTAGCTCAAGTAATGCAGCTACAAAATCTGCTGCAGCTCCCATGATTTCAAGGTTACTACCTGGATATATTCCCAATAGTTTGGCATTGGATCGTACTGTCAACTTGTTATTTGTTTTATCTTCAAAAAATCATAACATGTCCGAGGCCTTGAAAAATTATCCATGGATGATGACTGGCTCTGGTAAGCCACCTGATGTCACTGATGTTAGACGACCGCAAGATATTGTCAGATTAGAAGGATGGCGTTCTCTCTGGAGAGGCCTTCGAACAGGTATAGCACGTGATTCTATTTTTGGTGGCGTTTTTTTTGGCAGCTGGCAATTTCTGCATCTAGCAATGCTTGATTGGAAGGCTTTTGGGATGGATCCTCCTCCAGAAACAAATGATGAAATCGGCCCTTTGTCCCCTTTAGTTGTTAGCCTGTCAGCTGGATTTTCTGGGTCAATGGCTGCTGCTGCTTCTCATGGTTTTGATACCTCAAGAACCCGTTCTCAGTGCATTGTGCTATCCAAGTATCTGGCTAAGGAGAGGAAATTTTTAAAATGGAGCCAGCCTGGGAATTGGTTTGAAAGAATTGCTGGGATGCATCCGTCAGATCGCAATCTTCTATTCCGGGGAATTTCTGCGAGGATGGCTCGGAGTGGTTTGGCATCATTTTTCCTAGTAGGGACTTACTATATGGCTGTTGACTACCTTATTGCTAAGTCATAACACCTTGATTATGGAATACAAGCTATGGAGCTATGCTTCCAAAAGATAATCTAGAGATTGTTTCTCTGTCACGATATGTGACCTTAAGCCATACCATGAAGAAAAAATTCAGTACATCTTGCAATCTTTCTTACAGCTGGAGAAAAAAGGGAGCTGTTTCTTAGTCACAATTCGCCAGATATTTTGCTAATTTATTTCGGTGACAAGTTCCTTTAGCTACCTGTATTGCCTAGCTATTGGTGACGTAAATTATCCATTTGCTTTGTGCTTTCAAGTAAGCTAAATACATTTAGTCATTTACATTGGTATTTTGATAAACAGATGTTCCAGATAGTTGGAAAGTCATTGAAATTGTTGTATAAACAATCAATTAGCTCATCATTATTTCATTGTTCATCTTTTAACTTTGACAACTATCCTTGATTGATATAATGCTCTCTGCTGGGCATTTGCAGCTCTTTCTTTCTGTTGTTATCTGTAGGAAATGGGATTTAGTTTATTGAATAAGTATACCATCATTCAGATAGATTGCTATTCTAGGGAGGCCATAATACGTGCAAGTGTGCAACCTTTTTCTTGGCTTGCAGAGGCAAGGTGAGTATAGTCTGGTGAGCATTTCGAGCTTGCATTGAGATTATGGATTTACTTTCTTACAGGTCTAAAGAATTGTTATTGAATATTAATGACATTATTGGAAGTGGGTGGAGAGAGATAATAATAATTAAAAAACAAAAAAAAAAAAAAAGAAGATAAAATGTTATGATAAAGAAAGATATATAATTGATGTAATGGAGGGATGCAAGGGGGATTTTTTTATTTTTTTTTTTATTATTTTTTTTATACCATTAGCTTTTAATTAAAAGGAAAGAGAGTAATGTGAAGTTTATTTGTTTGTGATGGGGGGAGTATATGCCATGTTCTGTTTGCTAAAACTCTAAGAGTGCTGAATACATCTCTACAATTGCAATTAATTTTTTTTGTTCTTCTGTGAATCTGGTATGAGTGAATCACATTTGAGTTACATTGTATCTACCAGTTATCTTTTGTTTCCTAATTTTCAATATTTCATTGACTAAACAGTAAGATCTCTTCCTTATTGAGCATATAGGGCTTTTGTATATACCATGGAATATGCCTAGATGCTTTGAATTGTTTCATATATTTATGCTTTCCCAATTCGGTTGCCTTGTACTTTATCCCTATTTGCAAACTTTTGCTACAACTTTCACTCTCTCATTCGCTATTGAGAATTGTAGGTTGGATCTGATCGCTAAGTGGTATGTGCTTCTTTCCCCTGCTGTACTGCAAATATCATTGGTGATGCTAGTATTGTTATTTGCATTGTTATGAATCTCGTTGTGTTGTACTTGATCCGAAATTAATCAACCAGCATGTGTGTCTAATTGCCTCACTACTCTATTAGAGATTATCTCTTACTCTTGTGTCATTTTTGTTTACATCTTTGGGTTGTTGTATATTCTTCTGTTACTCATGTTGCTGAAGTTTTGGATATATGATTAATAGTCAAGCTTCTTATTATATGTTCCTATAGACAATAAATGTAATTAAAATGACATTCTCTATAGAAAGCTCAGATATGTTTCATATGTGGAACTATCTCCTGCCACACCAATGTAAGTATGCTTTCATATTTTGGTGAACCTTTTCAATCTACTTTTATCAAACATCCTCGTAGAATTCTCAGCTACAAAAGCAGCAGAATACCAGGGTTCTAGAAAGAGTGTCTGGAGAAGCAACAAAATTGTTTTGTTTCTTTTTGTCTTTATTTATAAATTTTTGTTTTCTTTCTAACAGTTTTTGTTTTCTTTCTAACAACTTTTGTTTACATAATACAGCTTCAAAGATGATTTTGAAAGCTATATACAAGTACATTCTTGTAATATGTTTCCTTCTGTCAAGTTTTGAGGCTGCTTCTCTTGAATTTTCGAGGAAAGGTGGATCAGGATCTGCTGTAAAAACATTGAAGGTTGAAGTTTTGCACTTATTTCTATAAAACTTGGTTAAGGCGTCAACTACAATCATTCTTTAGATTCTAAGTGTCATTTATTTTAGCTGGATGGTGTACAGACTGTGTACGGGGATACATATGACTGTATAGATTTTTACAAGCAGCCAGCATTCAATTATCCTCTCTTAAAAAATCATACTTACCACCCACAGGTGCTTTTCTATCTTAATTGCTGCTGTTCCACTAACTCCATATTCAAATTTCTATTGACTTCTCCATATTATATTTGTGCAGACAAAGCCTACTGCTAGGCCTAAACAGATCCAAAACAACAATATCTCTTTGATGATGAATGAAAGACCAACTGACGTGTTCCGCTTAAAGGATGGAGGCTGCCCTCCAGGGACGGTTCCCATTAGAAGAGTTAATGAAAAAGATGACCTTTTACAAACCAATGTGCTTCCACACCAGTCTGTGGAAGGGGTGAATCCCAATCGTGGAACTGGATACATATCTGGAACTGTTGTGAGTTTTAAGCTGAAATATAGGAAATCAATCAAGTGATCACTACTCATTTCTTTCCAAATATGTATATGATCTGCATAGTGTTCAAGTGTGTCTAGGTCTTTTCACAGATGTTTACAAGAAGTTTAGCACCCCTTCCTCCTCTCTGTTGCCCAGAAAATGAAAATTGTCCTTCCACTTTTTATATTACTTGTTCTGTGACTTTATTCCCTTAATATGCTTACTATTTTTACAGTATAATACTATTGTTTAAACTTTTTTATAACGATACTCTATCTGCACTCTATAAATCTATCATGCTCTTTTAGGCAAGGGTATGCCAAATATATAAACATCTAGAAGGAAATTATTATATGATCCTGTTTATTCTTTTGCTTGATCTTTTGTGTTCTTTTATGATTAATTGACATGGGATTTTTCCTTCACCTTGTTGGATATGGAATTATAGCTGATTTGTATTGTACTTTGTGATTTAGTATGCACTTGGTCAAACAAAAAGCAATCCCTCGAAGAGTTATTATGGAGTTGGTGGTGTTTTTAGTGTTTACAACCCAAGAGCTCTACCATCCCAGTACAGTTCAGCAGAAATCATTCTCAGGGGTAGTAGTGATTCCATAATTGCTGGGTGGACAGTAAGTGATCTGATTTTGCATTTAATTGTTTGTTATTTGTTATTTATTCCCTTTTGAAGCTTTTACTTAGCTGGTTAAGGAGGACATCTGCTTGCACCGTCTAGCAGAAGAAAAAAGAGGTGAATCTACTTGTTTATTTGTATTGCAGAAATTACAGGAGCAGTTTTTTCCTTTTGCTTGTTTCCCTGGTTTATCCATCCAAGTACAAAGACAACCGGACAAGGTTCTTTATATATGCAGTTGTAAGTCAGGGCTGACATAACTAATCAAATTTCTTATTCAAATGACCTTCAGAGAAGTCACTTTTTGAAAGAAAAAGATTCTATAGGAGTATGTTAACAAAGTCAGTCCACTCTATAGATTATAATGGCTGAAGAAAAGTATGCTGATATTAAAGAGTTTATTGACCAAATTGCTAAATTATTCTATAAACATTTCCACAGGCAGGTGATTTACGCTGTTTCAGTTCTGAATGCGGGTACGTCATTGTCAGATCGGATATCCCTATAGACTTTGCCTTTCACCCAATATCAAAAAAGGGAGAAAAAGTTTACATAAACAAGTTTTTTGTTTATCAGGTAAATTTCCAAATTAAAACACTTAGTAATTGTATGGTAAGAAACAGGCTGCATTATTGGTGTTCAATGTGAAAACACTTTGTTCCTTTTCTAATTTCAGTTTTTATGAATTTATAATTTTCTAATGCCATATTCCAACCATATGCAATATAGGAGAAGCCTTCTGGAGATTGGTGGCTTGAAGTGGGAGATACACATCCATTCGCGCTTGGGTTTTGGCCACAGAGGATCTTTCAAGGTCTGAAAGCGCCAGCAACTTATGATGCATGTGGAGGAGAAATAAGCTCAATAGCAACTCTGCCACCTCCTGAAATGGGAGCTGGTTCTTATCCTGATTTTACTCCTGCTTTGCTGGTTGATTCTTATTGCAAAGATTTTGTCGTGGTGGATGAAACCTATACTGTTGTCGATGTTGCTGATTCTGAAACCTATGAAAATAACGCTAATTATGGTGTTTACGATACTCATATGAGGAATAAGCAGCATGTAATCACATTTGGCGGTCCGTGATTTTTTAGGTATATTTTGAAAAGGAAATTTAATATCTGGGTTTATTTACTTTGGTTAAGATTGATGAAAAGAAAGATGTGAATTTGAGCTGATCCATAATAATCTGTTGCTCTTTTGTTTTCTTAATTTTCATCTACCAAATTTAGCCATTTACTCCATAATTTTTTAAAAGATTTTAGCCAGTTATTGGTATAATCGTATCATGTCAATTAGTATAAGGTAGTTCTGAAGTATGGAGTATGAAGATACCGTGGACTTTATAACAATTATAAGGTCGTGGATCAATGCATCAAATGGAAATTGTTGAGAATTCTGCAGTGTGAACTAAATAAACCCATTTAACAAAAGGCTCAAGATGGGAGTCATTTTGGTATCCAAACAGATTATATATGTTCATTCCTATATATGAAATACTATTGGTCATGTAAAGATAAATTTTACAATACCAACAATTAATATGCAACGACTAGGAGTAATATACCAGAATTTCAGTACTGGCAAAAGATAATCTTTACCTCTGTACTGGCCAAAGATGATGTCTTTAGTCATCTGCATAGACCATGCAACATAAATAAATTAAATATCAAGATGCAACTTTAGCTGCAATTCTGCAACATTAGCACGAAGACGTTAAAGCATTCCCTACAAGGGCAAGGCACTACTGATGATCTATGAAGCTATGGAGTTTGATTACCGTGATGGCTTACTAATGTTGGGCGTGGACTAACAAAATTGTATTTGTTGAAAGCCTGACAATTTCCATATCATGCTTTTCTTCGGATTTGGATATGGATAGACTTGGCCATTTAACCTTTGTGATGGATATTATGGAGTAGGTGTAATTGCCAAAACTATTGGGACTGGTTGATACTTGTATAATTTGGATACTCCATGAATTTAATTTAATTGTACATTTGTTCATAGTTCTCTTTTTTTTAGGGCTTGTTTACCATATGTTACAAGTTCAAAAAGAATTTTAATTCTGAAAAAAAAGGCTTAAATAATACGTTGTACAAACTATTGTCGTACTCACTAGCCTCCGGTTGTTTACATAGTTTTATTATATTAGTTGTACGCGCGGACCTCCCAACGTTACTGGTGTAATTTAACAGGAAAAATTGGTAAAATAATCCCAACTTTCACGTATTTACTTTAAATAATCCCAACTTTGGATTATTTTCAAATAATCCGGACTTTGGGGGTCATCCGCTCAAAATGGTCCCAAGTGACCGGTAATCGAATAAAGAGGTAATTTTTTTTTGGTTTTAACGTGTCACCGCATGATTAGCTAAAAAAAAAATTTCTTTTTAAAAATTTAAACAATAAAATCAGCCCCAATAACCCACAACAACCCCCACCGCTAGCCGGATATTCGGCAGCCTTCTCCCAACGCTCAGGTATCCCCCGCCCCAAACCGCCTGTAATACCCCGTATTTTGATACGTATTTTCTAATTAATTAATTAATTAATCATTATTTTCTGAAAAAAGGTATTTTAGTAATTTATTTTACTATTTGAATTTTGAAGCCAAAATGATATTTGAATTTTGGCGCCAAAAGTATTTTAAAAACTTAGTTATTATTTTTGGATTTTGGATAAGATTTATTATCCATTTATTTTATTTTAAAAAACCGAATTATGTATATATATATATATATATATTTCAGATATTTTAATTAAGCAAATTATATTTTATTATTTAATTAAGTGGTCCGAAAATTCCTAATAAATAGCTAGGGATTTCGGATTTTCCTAGTGTGGAAAATTTGATTTTCTTAGTTAATTTATTTAGTGAATAATTGGTATTCTCTTAATTAATTATTTTATACAAAATATATTATTTATACAATTATTTTTAATCCCTTAAATTTAGAAAAATATTTCCCTAAATACTACATAGGGTGTCCGAAAATTTGAGCTATGGAAGCTCAAAAATTTCAGCCACCATGATGGATTTTTGGGTGAATTATTTTGGTAATTTTTATTTTTAATTATCTCCCTTAAATCTATTATTTTCCTTAATTCTTATTTCCCATCTTCTAAATATTTGATCATCTTATTTCCCTACCTTTTATCATCTTTGATTATTCCCCAAGCAAACTCCTGTTGCCATATTTTTTTTCATGACAACATATTTTCCTTAATTTTATTATTCTTAGTCACCTTATTATTAAACTTTCCATAATTCTTAAACTCTCTTCTCCAAGTAATTTCCTTAATTCTTTTTACCATAATTTTTCCTACATTCTCCTACCATAATTCTTGCATGAGCTAGCCTATAAATACCCATTGATTCATGGCTAAACACTAACACCAAATTCTCTAATTCTCTCTAACTCTCTTCTCTTTCTCTTGTTCTTGCGCCAACCACCAAACACCACAACCACCACCTCCGGCTGCCACCTGCCACCGACCACCACCTCTGGCTGCCACCTATCGCTGACCACAACCACGACAGCCACTAGCTGCCGCCACATTCTTATCCATTTTTCCTTGGTTTTCTACCTCTTCTTCTTCTCTTCTCTAATTTAATTAATTATTATTATTATGGGGGATTTATAAATATATTATGAGTAGTTTTAATTAAATAAAATCAGATTTTTATTCAAGTTTATGAAAAATAATTTAAAAGGTTCATGTACATATAGTTGGGGGTTTTTAATTTAATCGATGTGATTATTTGTTAACCTTATATTAATTAAGGTTATATTTATTTGTAGGGTGTGTTTGATCGAAGTTCTTGAAAGTTTATTTTTGTTGCTAGTAATGATCAAATGTATGTTTAGGTGGCTAGATACCTTTGAAATTTATTGGATTGAATAAGCATGTTCTATATGATTTTTATAAATTGAATTGAATTATGATTTATGAAATAAAAGCATGTTTAAAAATTGGTTTTGATAAATAAATTGGAGGATTGATTTTATATCATGTTTTGAATGATTAAAATTATTTATCATGGTTTTAAAGGTTTCATTTTGAAAGCATGTTGAATTAAATATGTTGGGTTTTGCGGTGTTCGACACCGCGCGGAAACAAAACCCGATAACCGGATCGAATCGCATGCATAATAATTACAACATAAATAAAAGCATGGAAATAAACATAAACATAAGAGAAGAGAAGAGAAAGAAGAGGGAGAAAGAATGTTCACCCTAGTAGCGTGCTTCGCTCAACTGTTGAGCTCGAACTTGAAAGCTTCAAGTTCCGCAAGTGCGAGAACTTCCAACGGCTCACACCCTCGCTACCGAAACGTAACTGGTCCCTACCTCGAAGCTTAGTCAAGGCTAGACCAAAAATAACTTAAGAGTTTACGAACAAAGGTTTTCTCGCTTGTGGAGATCCCTTAGAGTTCACCAACTCAAGTGAAGTTCCCAATACCTAATGGTGGGTATTTATAGGGCAATCTCCCCAAGAATTCTCATCATCTTTCAATGTGAGATAGTTGGTAAAAGGCAAAATAAGATTTAATTTAATTCCAAATTAAATTAAAAAGCCAAAATAATCATCAAACGACAAGTGGCGCAATGAGAGAAAAAGAGTAGGTGAGGACCGTAAGGGGAGGACCACCTTCCCCTTGCTCCCCAAGCCACCCCTTCACAAAACGGGTGCAATAGGATGGCGCCAAGTGGCAGCCCGCCTTGAGCACCAAGGCAGCCATGCTGGCGCTTAGTTTCTCAGTTGGGCCTGCCAGCTAGGCCTTCCCGCACCAACCCGGAACAGCAAGCCTCGCAAATGCGGCAGTTTTGTTGTTGGGCGCTGCTACTGCTACGCACCAAGCTTGGTTCTAGTAGCCTGTGCCTAGCGCGCCTCGTTGCTAGCTCTCGCATGCTCGTAGGCTGCTGCTTGCTTGCGACATGGCCTGCCAGCCCAGCCACGCATGGTTTTCTCGGCCATGCTGGCGAGCCTTGCCTGCATGGCTACTCGCCCAGCTCGCCTAGCCAGTGCATGCGATGCATGCTGGGCTTTCGGCCAAGCCTTGCCTTGCGGCATGGAGCCCGACTAGCCATGCTAGCCTACCTAGCCCTCGATTGGCTAGGCCATATCGAGGCTAGGATTTTCACGCGCGTTGACTTGTTGTTTGCCTGATTTTTCCGTCTCGTCGACTCATAAATTCGACTCGACTTTCAACGCTCGGCTTCGACGCTCTGAGATCGGTATCCGACATCTTAGTTCGTAAAATCTCTATTGACTCATTTAATCCGTCGGATTAATTCGTCACTTCAGTTCGGTTACATGATTGGGTGTGACCCGAAGGGTTCAGTCAAGATTAAGCTGTAATATTAAGTATTCATTAGTATTAATGATCGGAAGCGGCCTCTAGCTAGACATTCCGATCACTTGACCTCACTGAATAATTAGCTTTCTAATTAATTTCGAACCCTCAATCGGAATAATACACTGGTTCGAAGGACACTATTCCTTTCAAAAAAGAAAGGAGTTTTGAGTTATTGAATTGGAAAAAAGGATTTATTGAATTATTATTATTAAAGCTTTACAAGCATGTTGATAGTAATCCCACTTTGCGGATTTGGTTGATAAGACTTTGGACTTTGCATGACTGAGTCTTTCCTCAAGAATAGCCTTGAAATAGTAGGAGACTAGCTTGGGGGGTGCACACTTGGGTGAGGAATTGGATTTTTAAAAAGGAATTGGATTTTAAAAGGAATTGGTTTTTATTAATGAATTTTTGAAATATTGAATTATTGGAATTGGTTTTGGAATATTGTGTTTGGAATTATTGGATTAATTATTGGAATTGATTTTTAAAAGCATGTTTGCAAATAAAATTGAGTTTACTTATCTTGCACTTATCGTACTCAGCATATTTTGCTAATCCGTATTTCCTATTTGTTTTGGTTCGCCCTGTTTACCTTAATGGTAAGCAGCGTTGACTATTTTCTGATGGAGTCAATATTTGAGCATGTGGGAGTCCCGGGATGTTCTTCACCTAGATTAGGAATGTTGGTCCTTGTTTATTTATGAGTACGCATGACAAT